TCACCCTGGGGAGCTCCGGTGTTATTCGTGAAGAAGAAGGACGGAAGCATGAGGATGTGCATAGACTACCGAGAGTTGAATAAGGCAACGGTGAAGAACAAGTATCCATTGCCGAGGATTGATGATCTATTCGATCAGCTGCAAGGTTCGAGCTACTTCTCAAAGATCGATCTTAGGTCAGGATATCATCAGTTGAAGGTGAGAGAGCAGGATATTGAGAAGACTGCATTCAGAACAAGATATGGACACTACGAGTTCTTGGTTATGTCATTCGGACTAACCAATGCTCCCGCAGCATTCATGGATTTGATGAATAGGGTTTGTAAACCATTCCTCGATAAATCTGTGATAGTGTTCATCGACGACATTCTCATTTACTCGAAAAGCCAGGAGGAGCATGGCAAGCATCTACGAGAAGTGTTGGAGGTGTTAAAGAAGGAGAAGCTTTTTGCAAAGTTCTCCAAATGCGACTTTTGGATACGGGAAGTCCAATTCTTGGGTCATGTTGTTAACCAGGAGGGAATAATGGTTGACCCCGCCAAGATCGAGGCTGTAATGAAGTGGGAACGTCCGAAGAGTCCCACGGAGATTCGAAGCTTTCTAGGATTAGCCGGATATTACCGACGATTTATCCAAGGCTTTTCTTCGATAGCTGCTCCATTAACAGCTTTGACCCATAAAGGAGCTACGTATACATGGAGTGAGAAACACGATGAGGCGTTCGAGAAGCTAAAAAGAAGTTATGTGAAGCACCGATACTTTCTCTACCCGATGGAGTCGAAGATTTCGCAGTTTATAGTGATGCATCTGGAGTCGGGTTGGGTTGTGTTCTGACCCAAAGAGAAAAGGTGATAGCATACGCATCTCGACAATTGAAAGAGCACGAAAAGAACTACCCCACTCATGATCTGGAGTTGGCAGCGGTAGTATTTGCCTTAAAGATATGGAGGCATTACCTCTACGGCACGAAGTGCAAGCTCTTCACTGATCATAAGAGTCTCCAAGTATCTCTTTAATCAGAAGGAGTTGAACATGAGGCAACGACGCTGGCTAGAACTTCTCAAGGACTACGACTGTGAGATACTTTACCACCCAGGTAAAGCAAATATTGTTGCTGATGCTCTCAGTCGGAAAGTCAATCTTGAAAGAAAAAGGCCAAGAGCGTTAAGAATTGAAGTCGTCTCGATGATTGTGGAAAGTATCAGGAAAGCTCAAGAAGAAGCCTTAGAAAAGAATGACCGAAAGGAAGAACGTTTGGGAAAAACGTTAGTGTTCGGTACGAACAGTCGAGGACTGAAGGTATTCCAAGATCGAATTTGGGTACCTAAGACGGGAGGAATAAGAGATCTTCTAATGGAAGAAGCACACAAGACCATGTACTCGATTCATCCCGGTAGCACTAAAATGTATAGGGACCTAAAACCCTACTACTGGTGGCCGACGATGAAGCTCGATGTTGCGAAGTATGTGGCTGAGTGCGTAACATGTGCGAGGGTTAAGGCACAACATCAAAAACCGTATGGGAGTTTAGAACCCTTACCTGTACCCATGGGTAAATGGGAAGACATCACCATGGATTTTGTGACTAAACTGCCCAGAACGAAGAATGGTCACGACATGATTTGGGTAGTCGTGGATCGTTTCACCAAGAGTGCACACTTCATAGCAGCCAACGAGAAGTGGTCTATGGATAAGCTCGCAAATGCTTACGTGAAGGAAATTGTAAGACTTCACGGTGTCCCTCTTACTATTGTGTCAGATCGTGATAGTCGTTTCACATCGAGGTTTTGGAGGAGTCTACAAGAGGAGTTGGGTACAAAGTTGTGTTTGAGTACTGCTTACCATCCGCAAACTGATGGTCAGAGTGAAAGAACGATTCAGACGTTGGAAGATATGCTGAGAGCATGTACCCTCGAATTCCAAGGGAATTGGGACGAGCACTTACCTCTGGTAGAATTTTCCTACAACAATAGTTTTCACTCGAGCATCAAGATGGCTCCTTATCAAGCCTTGTATGGGCAGAAGTGTCGTACGCCGTCTTGTTGGCTTGAAGCCGGAGAGAAGCAGTTTATGGGCCCCGAGATAGTCCATGAGACTGCTGAGAAATTGAAGGTGATTAGGGAAAGAATGTTAGCAGCTCAGGATCGTCAGAAGAGCTATGCCGACAAGAAAAGACGACCGATAACCTTCGAAGTTGGGGATTCCGTTTTACTTAAAGTCTCACCGTGGAAGGGACTTATACGATTTGGGAAACGAGGAAAGTTGAGTCCAAGGTTTATTGGACCATTCAAAGTTCTTCAGAGGATTGGGAACCAAGCTTACAAGCTGGAATTGCCCGAAGAACTCAATGGTATTCATAACACCTTCCATGTGTGTTATTTGAGGAAATTCATGGGAGATGTTCCCGACATAATTCCAATCTCGGAATTAAGGATGGATGAGAATAAAAGGCTGATCGAAGAGCCTGAGGCAATTATTGACCGTAAGACTAAGAAGTTACGACGCAAGATGGTCGACTTGGTGCTAGTCCGATGGAAACATTCGAATGGGCCGAATCTCACTTGGGAAACAGAGGATGACATGATGAGTCGCTATCCACATCTGTTTGCTGATGCATGATTCCGGGACGGAATCATCCTAAGGGGGTGAGAATTGTAACGCCCGGGTTTTCAGGGCTAAGCATTTTTGTCAATGTAATAGTCTAGGTCAACTATTGTAACTCTTTTTGAAGTAATAAATATGAAATATTTGAGTATTATGTGAATTATGTGTGTTTATGTGTTTATTATTTAATTATAAATGTATAATTAATAAAGAATAAAAATGAGCGTCAAAATTAAAGTGTGAGATAATCCCGATATCTCTACATAAAGTTGTAGAATATGTCTCAAGGTTTCCGTACATATAAAGAATGCCGAAATCCGAGCTATAACGAAGAAGTTATGGCCCGCCGAAGTTTTACGGCAAAACCGGCACGACACCGGGAGACGTAAATAGTGAATTTACGATAGAAGACTTTTTAGCCTTAGCAATCTAAACAAAAGTCGTAGAATATGTTAAACTAAGAACATCGATAAAAAGAACGCCCAAATCTGACTTCGTATGAAGAAGTTATGATTTTTCTAAGATTCGGCTTAGCAGTGCACGGCCTGAAACTCGAATTTTAGTTCGAGCGGTTTTTGGCTTACGCAACGTAAATGAGAGTTGAAGATCTCATTAATAGGAAATCAACGGTAAAAAGACAGACAAAAACAGAGTCCGTATGTAGAAGTTATTAATTTTACGCAGACGTTTAACAGTATAATCTCCTTGTACTGTTAAATTTAAGATCGGTCGAGAATTAGCTGACGGTGTCAAAATGAAAGTTGTAGATCTTATTATTACCTACGCGTGGATATAAAGAACGTCAAAAACGGAGGTCGTATGTGAAAGTTACGGATTTTAGAAGTCGGAAGTGTGCTGTGCGAAAATGGGTGATGTGGCACAATCTTGGCCATTGCTTTCTCCCCAAGGCTTGCCACCAGATGGTGACATGTGGCACCAAGTTCAGCCACATTTCACCCTATAAATACCACCTCTCCCACCCTCATTTTCTTCACACCTTTCCCATTCTTTCTTCTCTTTACTCTCTCTCTCTCTCTAGAACCTCTCTCTAGCCCCGAAATCCCCCGAAAAGCCTAGGGAACCTCCCTAGCACGAGGCGGAAGCCCCGGAGTGCTCGAAGGCTCTGAGAAGAAGAGCTTTTCGGCTCGGGAACGCTGCTCCAAGCAAAGCCCGGTTTTCTATAAAACCCGCTGTAAGTGAGCTACGCCTACGCTATTTTTAATATAACTTTTATTTAATTATAGTAACGTTATTAGGAACTTATAATAAATACTTGGGCTATTATTATGGGTTATATAAGTATTTTTTTGACGCTTATATAATAATAATAATAGCTAGACTATTAATTAGTCTCGACGAATAATAAACTAAACTCTAGTGGTAATAATACTAGGTTTCGTCGAAGAAAAATTCTTTTTAAGAAGCGAAGCGCTGTCTGAGTTCGGAATCACCACCTTTTCCGGTGAGTGCATAGTTACTTTCAGCTTACACATAGATATGAAGTATTTTATATAAATTACGTGCTATGTGTGCATATTATCTGAATACTTGCTATCTACGTTAGATGAACGTTGTTATACATGTTTTCAATGATTTAAACTGTATATGTATTTTATATCTACGAAAATGTTGGGGTAAAACATGGGTAGATGTAATAGGTGATGTGTGATAAAATGATGAGAGGCCTCGATGTTGTTGTTGTTGATCCAGTCATCTAGCGGAGTATAGATGACGACCACGGACTCTTCTAGACAGTCCAGTGGAACACTAGCAGGCTCGCAACCTGTAGGTGTTGTGAACGATGTGTTCACCGGTGTACTCCATCCCCCACATGGTTGCCTATTAGGACATTTATTGCTGAGGAATCCCCTTAGCAGTAGTGTTCGTCCCGATGATGATCCTTAGGCTAGGTCCCTTATGATAGGTGTTTAGGGACGTAAAGTGAGGATAACGGGAACGGGTAATCGGGTTATTGTTGATTGATGAAATTAATAAACTTATTTATTGTGGGTTGAAAACCCTATGTGCTCACCAGGCTCCCAAGCCTGACCCACTCAGTTTTATGCATTACAGGTAGTGGCGCATGAGCATAGGTGTGATGTTTTGGACGAGGGATTACGGATATAGGCCTGTAGATATGAAATAATGTAGTAAGGCTTATATTGTACTGTTTATACTTTTGATCTGTACGAACATGACATCCTGAGTCTTTTAATGAAATACATTTCTATGGAAATGCTTTTGATAAATCTTTATCATATTATTGTTTTGGGACAAATTCCGCAACCCTTTTATTAAAAGATAACTCTGATTTTGAAATAAAGTATAAACAAAACCGGTCTTTTCTGGCCGTGATTTTGGGGATGTCACACCTAAGCCTTACATTGTCATTTTTTTTAAAGAAAAGATTCCTTCTTGATTCTAGTGCATGCAGATCGATTGCCTCCTTTAATTCTTTTTTACTATTAAATATATCTCCAACTGAAAATGATTGTTTATGTACTGCCCCAAGACTGCACCTTTTTTCTTTTCTCAGATTCTTTATAAGAGCTCTTCTCTCTCTATCTTGGTCAGATCCTTCATCCAAAGATTCAAATTCCTCATTGTTGATCACTTCCATATCTTCAGGTTCATGCCCATGAACAACATTTATACAAGAACCTTCCACATCACTTTCAACATTGAGAGTGAAGTCTCCCATGTCCACATCCACATCTTGTATATTGTTGTCAACATCCATTATGTCATCCATATGATATTCATCTTCTATTTGTCTCTCATCTTCTTCATACCCTAGATCACTATTTTCAGATTCATCATACTCTTTAAAATTTGGATCACTTTCTTGAGATTCATCATCCTCTTCATTCTCTTGATTACCCTCTTCAGATTCTCCATCACCTTCATACTCTGCATTATCATCATCACTCCCAATCAAATTTTCCATAAGGTTATCAAATAACTCATTCAATTGTTCATCAACATTATTAACAGGGGGTGTTGTAGCATCCTTCATCAACAGTTGATGCCTGTTGAACAATAGTTGCAGCCTCCCTAACACTCTCCATCTCATCAATAAGAACACAAGTTACTGCCTCCTCAACATCAGTTGAACCATCCTGATCATCATTCTTTTCCTTTGAAATATGAACACCCTCATCAATATAATCTAAATTAAGCCTCTTGCTACAAGAACTTTCACCTATATTGGAATTCCCAACCCTACCCCTTCTATACTCTAGTGAGAAACTATCATTCTTACTCCTAAAAAGAATCAGAGACATGAACTCACTAATAGGCTCACCATTACCATGGTTCACATTTTTCATTGGAGAATCTGCATGAACTTGACCCTCAACTTCAGCCCCTTGATCATCATTTTCTGTTAATTCCTCAATGACAACATTACCCTTTGCATTTAGTGACATGAAGTAAGTCAGTAAATTTTTCTTTCCATGCTCTGTGTACACCTCAATCAGCTTTTTATGTGCAATGTATTTAGAAAGGTTGACCACATCCTGATCATTCCCTAAAGCTCTAAGACCAAATTGAAAGTCACCATTGGGTATCCTGAAATGGTAGTATATCACTGGGGATTCATCGGTCAATTCAATCATCTGTGGGTCTGGGTAACCTAGGTCAAGCATTATGGCATCAAGTTCATGGACAGAAAAATCATCAATATCCACATAATCAACATAACGCACTTAACCTCCAATGTACTTTATATCAGGTAACTTAGTAAATTTCCCACCGTGATGAAGCTTAATACTAAACCATGTGGGTGCACCAGCTAAAAATCAAAATTGTACATATTAACAAAGTTAAAATTTTGCATTCTTTTGTTCTAAATCAATAAGAAAATGCAAAGTATAAAAGTTAAAGAAGCAGAGTAACTTACCATATACAGTTGATACATCAACAACTTCGTGTTTTGGTCTGATGTGCCACATTACGAACACCATTTCGTATTAAACATATGCCCTTGTATGTGTAGTGTCGATTATCTTGTTTGGATAAGCAACGAGGGTTTTTTGCAGGTTCAATGGAGCAGAAGCAAGAAGGAGGGAGTTGGGGAGTTGACGAATGTTGGGGAAACTAAATGAGGGGTAAATATCAATTAATCCAAAAAACGTTTATGCAAAAATGGTCCCTAATATATGAAATGACAAAATTACCCTCACGTGTGAGGCACGTGAGGGATCTTAACAGATCCAACTTAACGGGAGTTAAGTCCAGGGACCAAAACCACATAGAAACCACTCCGAAAGGACCATGGATGCAAAAAACTCGTGGTTTGGACTAAAACCCCAAAATTTTGCATACCACAGGGACCATTTTTTCAATTTTGTCAAATTATAAAAGTTCCAAATTAAAATCCATAAATTCTGGGAGTTTTGAAAATGTGTCTACCTTGTTCATAATTTTTCTCATGATTTTTAGTAACTTCCAACTTGTGTGAAAAGGGCCATAATCATAGACTGATCCGAATGTGTTCTTGAAATGATAGGCAGTTTTGTAAAAATCACCATAAATTTTAGGAAGATCATATGGTGATGTGAAAGTAGTCATTTTAAAGCTAAGAACTTGAACTATTTTCACCTTGTATATTTTTGAAAACTAAAATGTTTAAGTCATCCAAAACAGTCCGTGAATGGAGTCCAACTTTTCTGATGAAAGCTGTTGGAAGAGTTTAGTTGTGTTCTTGTTGGTTTAACTTGTATTTTCCCCCTTAAAACTTAAGAAAACGTGAAAATATAGGGGTATGAACTCACATCAAATGATTTCAGTAGATGATTGTTGTAGAAGAGAAGTGTCCAACTCAAGAACACTTGAAGATCCCTTGAAGATTTTCGAGAATCTAACACAAATATGGTGGAGTTTGTGAAAGGAATCAATGATTGGAGTTAAAGGGAAGTGTAATAATCATATGGGGGATGAATATACTTACCAAAAGTGGAAGAAAGCTTGATGATCATCCATGGAAGTCTCGAAATTGAGAGAGAAAGATGAGAGGATTTGGAGTGTGATGTTTGGTGGACAAATGAGAGAATGAATGAAGTATGAGGAGAGAGAGAGTTTTACCCAGCCCTTAGAACATGGGAAATGTCTGGAAATGAGTGGGAAAGTACAAGGAAGTGACAAGGTATGGTGGGGAGGTGTGGCTGGTCATGGAGTGGGTGTGGGTGGTTGCTTGTGTCATAAACTAAAGGAAAGTCAACACTCCACCCTTTGTACTTCACTCACTCTTCTTGGATAAGGTTTTCTCCCAAAAAACATGATTAATTAAGGAATATGGGTCTTAATATGTAAAAATAAGGTTTTGGGTGAAAATCCCGTGTTAAAATGATGAAAAACAAGGCCAAAACGAAGTCGTGGTCGAAAACTGGGTAAAAAGACGGAAAAATCCGAAGTCAGGGTGAGGGTCCGATCTCAGCAGCCTTTGGAAAAGGAGTGGCTTGGTCGCTGAATTGGGTCCGAGGGGGAGGGGACTGTGGTCCGATCAGGTACCGCAGGCAGCTCATCAGGAGTGACCGCATGCGAAAGTCGGATGTAGTGCTCCAGTTCCTGGTTCGGTTCGGCGCTACGGATCTTCATCAACCTCGGTCCTCAGCAGATCGGGTCTGGTCTGATGGTTGCGGTTCGATGACTTCGGCTCGGTGGCTATGGCTAGATGGCTACGGCTACTCCAGGAGACTTCGGTCTTGCTTCTTGGGACCTTGGTTTAAGGAGGGTTTGGTCTCTATACAGAGACTTCGGCCCTAAAAGGCTATTTTCCAAGGTATCACCCCTTTTCGCATGGTTTCTCACCAATTCAAGTGTCGGGATGCCCCAAATGATTACAAAACTTAAAAGAGGTTTTGAGAGAGATTTGGGAGACATTTCTCATATAGAGAGAGATTTGGGAGAGATTTCACATTCTTGGAGAGATTCCTCATATAAAGAGAGATTTGGGAGAGATTTGAGTTAGGGAGACATAGAGTGAAAGGGATTGGGAGAGACTTCTTTTGTGACCCTTTTGAGTGTTTGGCTTTGAAACGCAAGGTCTGTAAACCCCGTTAAGCTATGTTTAAGGGTACTACACACTCCTGATGAGTACGCAACATTGTTTTATCGGTTTGGTTCATTACTTACCACAACTTTAGGTTAAGGAAATCTAGACCTACGAACTTTTAAATTGATGATTTTCTCATTAGAATAGCTAGTTGTACAGTAATTACATAACGTAAACCCTAGCATACAAGGGTTAACTAAGTTGACCGGTTTGACTTGTTGACTTTGTTTGACTTTGACTTGACCAGAATTTGACGGTTGTCACAAGCATTGTGTTACTTTTGCTGCTGGTTTACTAGTTCGTGAGATAGCAGATGCATATGTGTGGTTGCTTGAAGAGTTTTGTAAATCATTTTTCAAGCCATCCATGATGATTGTAACAGATCATGATTCTTTACTGAAGAAAGATATTAATTTTGTTTTTCCTAAATCCAAGCATAGATTATGCATGTGGCACATCACTCAAAAACTTGAGGAAAAGGTGTATTCTTTGTTTCTTGATTCCTATATATGTTTATAACCATCTAGATCATAAAACACACTATGAATTCATAATCTAAATATGCATATGATGAAATAAACAAATCTAAATCATAAATCACACTGTGAATTCACAATGTGAGAAAAATGTTATGTTACTATGAACTACATCAAATATTCAACTTATGTAATGATTCTTATGTGTTTCTTTTTTTTAGATTCCTATCGATGTTTGTAACTATTCGGACTTCTAAAAGACGTTTTTTGATATTATATGGAACCTTCAATGTTCTCCACAAGATTTTGAAAGTTCCTAGTCAACAATGTTAGATAAGTTTCATCTCAAATAAAATGATTGGTTAAAGACTATTTTTAAAATAAGGGATTTATGGATTCTGACTTTTATGAGAGATCTTGAACATTCTGGTTTGATGCGAACTACTTCAAGATCAGAGAGACTGAATTAAGCTTTCTCACATTTTTTGCATCATAAATCAAATTTAGTGAAGTTCATGGTGTCATTTGATCGTGCAATGGAGAAGAAAAGATATCATCAATCTTTATTAGATTATCAGTCCACAACTACTACCCCCTAAGTTAAGGACTCCTTTGGCTGTTGAAAAGAATGCATCAGAAATTTATACACATAATATTTTCTTGGAAATTCAGAAAGACTTATACAAATATGTGTTATATTGTGTTCAAGAATCTGTAGTTATTGAAGATGAAAGTGAAGTTTATGTTTTGAGAGATAAGAAGAAAAAAAGTTCACTGATAAAAATGTGAATGAGGATGAAGATGAAGATTCTTATGATTTTTATCGAAATAGTCTTCTTTCTCATTGTCCTAATACTCGTTACAAGGTATGTCTCTTTGTCCTAATAGAGTTTATTATATATAAAATGTACTTAAAAAATAAACACTGTGAATTTAGGATGTTTTGCCAACTCATAATTTGAATTCACGTAGAGTTATAAATTGATTTGTACTTTTCATTAGATTAATACGGAATATGTACTTTTTTGTGAATTCGATTTGATGTACAGATTTACGTTATAATATTATGATTTCTAATGTTGATTAATAATGTGAATCAATGTTAATTTTTATAATTTTTATTGAATGATATGAGATAGAATTTCTTATTCACATATTAATTTATTTATTAATGATAATTTTGTAGGTTGTATTTAGTATAAGGGGTGATAACATTAACATCAGTTGTAGCTGCATGCTTTTTGTCCAGGAAGAAGTGTTATGTCATCATATGTTCTTCATATTAAATATGAAAGAGTATGATGAAATTCCATCAAATTTTATTTTGAGGAGATGGGGAAAAGATATCATAGCTGATGGATCATTGAGAAAAAAAAGTACTCATATCCTGATAAATGCAGTAAAAATGAATGTTTGATTCAAGATGCTTATGCTATTCTTCGTTTGTCCATTAACAAGATAGCAAATAATGAGGATGAGTTGGATAAATATATAAAGAAACTTCAAGAGGTTGATAGTGGTATTCCTGTATGTACCTTATCAAGGGCATCTTCGAGTAGATCGGTTCACATTGAAAAAATTATGGGAGCTGCAGTACCTGATGTTATCAATATTCATAATCCTTAGGGAATCAGAAACAAGGGATGACTAGTGGTAAAAGAATTATGAGCACTAGAGCGAAAGCGATTGAGACATCTAAAAAAGGTTCCAGGTTGTGTAGTTTATGTCATAAACCAAATCACAATGCTAGGGGTTGCATTTTGAGGATAAAGAAGTCTGATTTAGAATATGAGGTTACAGAAGGTTGATTGTTTCTAATTTAGTTTTTAATACTACTAAAATAAGATTTGGTTTTTGTAATGATCATTCAATGCATAGAAATGTTGAAATATTCATGTTAATTTTGATATTCATTGTTTTAGACTTTATTTGTAACAATCGAATATATTTTTTTCGGATTTATTGTTTTTGGTTAAATATATTATTTTATTGTTATTTTTTGAATGTTTTCTAATAAAATTTTCATGTTAATGATTTGATTTATGTATTTTAAATATCATTGTCAATCTCACATATAAAATTTTCATGTTAAAGATTGTCTTTATGTAATTTAATT